CTGCATGACCAGTTATCACTCTCAGCTCATACTGCGAACCTGACATGATCATGCAGGTTTCTCCTCTACAACATCCAGAGGATTGACCCTTTCTCACTAGGTCTCTTGCCATCTGAAAGCCTGACTACTGCAACTTCCACAGCTGGTCTTCCTATGCAGCCGTCAGGCCCTTGCAAATGATCCAGAAGGCAATCTTCAGTTGTTCTAAGTTCACTCATATCACTCCACTGCGGCTTTCCCTTTGCTGGCTTCCTGTAGCTGCATGCATCAGATTTAAAACCCTGATTCTTGCCTACAAAAAGCCAAAAATGGATCAGCCTCTCCCTGCCTAATGACAATGGTCAAAACTCGATCAGTATCAATACAGCTCAGCGTGATCCACCATTCTTGAAGACGCACAGAAGTCTGACCTTCCACTGGCTGTCCAAACAGCAGATTTCACCCTCTCTTTGTGAAGCACTTAAGCAAGCAATAGTCTAAGTACTTATTGAAATCCACTGTACTGCACTTATGCTACGCCTTAGTTCTGCGTCTTTCTAGGCATCAGCACTGGCTTTTGTTTCTGGCACTGTCTTAGTTTAAGGCCTATTTGTACTAGCTAGGACACATTCTGAGTGGACAACAAGGCACTTTTTATAAGTCGCTCTGGATAAGAGTGTCTGCTAAAAGCTGTGAGTGTAAAGAAATACCTTTTTTAGTATTCAGTGTGTCCACCCTTGGTGTTTATTACAGTTTTTCAAAGAAATCTGCAGGGATATCTTACCACACCTCTAAAGTTCAGGCTTGATTCAGATCTGCACTGTTTATCGGATGGAGACATTTTTGGTGGACTCCCAAGTCTTGCAGCTGGTCGATTTTCTCTGTATCATTTCATCTTTTTTCCAGTTTTGGAAACTCCTGCACTTATTTTTTCTTTGACTTTTTCCTTCCTTATGCAAGTAGCTTTTCTTCCATCTAATATCTTCTGAAAAATGAATGTGTTTATAATGGTTGTTTTATAAAATTATAATAATACAATAAAATATAAATATAAACAAAATGGAATTTTTAAAATAATTTGGAGCTTGAAAAGTGTTTTTAAAAGAGTTTTTAAAAGAGTCTACTGAGCTTACCTGCACAGAGACTAGTCCATTTCCATAATGACCCATTCATTAACGCTGCTCAGCTTCACTGTAGCTGCGCTACTAAATCAACTAAACCACTTGTGTTTGTGATATCAGTCACACTCTCGCTCTGTTTGTGTCACTGACCTACTTGCAAGCTGCGAGTCGCTTTGTTTTAAAGTGCCAAACTAAATATTATGCTAATGTAATTACTTAAGCGTGACACGCCCTTCCACGCATATGGAGTCGGACACACACACACACAGCATAAGCCACATCTTTCGTCCCACCGGAGTGTTCTTTCTCTCTGCAGGACACACAGAACTGGGACATGCGCACACACACACCTGCAGACTGGCTTTACACCTCACAACAATATTCACACTTGCACTTACACACACCACATGACGCTACCAGATGAGCCAAAATCACCACCACCATCAGAACAGACAACATTTTGAACCTGTAGAAGTCTAGAGTTAACACGGTTCATAGATCATTAGTCATTAACAGTAATTATGTCATTGCTTTATTACATATTGCACAGTTATATAATGAATTTATATAATTATAACATAATTATATACTTATATAATTATACAGGTCCAAGACTGAACTTCTGACTATTGTTTTTTATTTGTTTCAAAACAACAACAAACACATGTCCTAAAACTAGGGTTGTCAAATAATTAAAATAACTAATCATGATTAATCACATTATTTTATATAGGTAATCACGATACACTGTTTTTTTCCTATTTGCTCCAAAGTAAAATTTATTCCAATTTGAAAACTGTGCATTTGTTATACACTATACAGCCAAAAGTACGTGGGCAACCCCCAAATTAGCCACCCTCACTGCTAACAGCTGAATCAAATCAGGCAACAGAATTGGTTGCTCTGAGAAACTCAGTGACTTTAAATGTGGCTCTGTCATAGGATGCCACCTTTGCTGCATGTCAGTTTGTAAAATTTCTGCCATGCTAGATCTGCCCCTGTCAACTGTATGTGCTATTACTGTGACATAGAAACATCTAGGAGCAACAACAGCTCAGCCGTGAAGCGGTAGATCACACAAACTCACAGAGTGGGGCTGAAGTGTGTGATGTGTAACCTCTGTTGGATCATTCACTACCAAGTTCCAAACTGCCTGTGGAAAACATCAGCACAAGAACTGTGTGATGGGACCTTCATTAAATGGGTTTCCATGGGTGAGCAGATAAACACAAGCCTAAGATGACTATGCGCAATGCCAGGTGTCAGCTGGAGTGCTGTAAAGCACACTGTCACTGGACTCTATCTGACAGTCTGATGGATGAATCTGGGTTCAGCGAATACTAAGCGAACAATATCTAAGCATTGCACAGTGCTGACAGTAAAGTTTGGTTGAGAAGGGATAATGGTCTAGGGCTGTTTTTCAGAATTTGATGAGTTTGGCATGGAGGAAGTCCAGTGGCCTAAACAGAGCCCTGACCTCATCCCCACTGAACACCTTTGGGATGAACGCAACGTGGGGGGCCAACAATAGAAACAGATGGACTAAAGTCTGTAACTGTAGAAACACAAAGTGCACCAGTATGATTAAGTGGAGCTGATAAAATGCACAATGAGTGTAAATACAAAGTGGTGTTCTTAATGAAGTGGTTGGTTGGTGGACACACTCACTGGTTGGAACATGCAGCCACTGTTACTCTCAATGGACGTTAGTGAAGAAGACTGGAATGTTTGGTTTTCATGTTCAGGTTCTTGTGTATACTTTCACATAATGAAAATGATGGATAAATTCGAATTCTGCTACATGACATTGATATATCCATGCCACAAACATAAAGTCAACACAGCTATCTAGACCAGTGGCTCTCAAATTGGTCCTCAGGGAGACCCAGACGGCCCACATTTCCCCAGTCTTGTATATTGTGAAATGGGTTAAAGAAAAAGTGTGGACCACCTGGGGGTTTATGGAGACTGGTTTCAGAACTACTAATCTAGAGTGAACACCAAAAATTAGCATGTGACATTAGCATAAATATTGGTAATGGTAATGGCATCTGTCATGACATGTCCTGGGAGCACATGATATGACTTGCCATGACATAGTAATGTCAATCTTATGTAGCAGGGTTCAAGTAAAGCGTAATCAAATTATATTACTGAATTAATAAAAGGAAAAAATACATTTTGATTGAGCTTATTTTGTCAACTCTAATAGCTATAAACAAAAAAATATTTAATGGAAATCAATCTTTCTTTAGGGTCAAATCTTAGCCAATAAGACAAATGTAAAATTATGTATTTAACTGTAATTAATTACTTTTAATGGATTAAGAGACCCAAAATATTTTGAATATACGATGTAGACACATATTGCACATCTTCCTTTGTCAAATACAGACATCTAAAGCTATAAGATTTTTCTATGGACTACCACTCTGAACACACAGCCAATTACCGTCTCTCAAGGATCGCTGACCCTGACCACAAACAGAATAGAAAGAGAGACTGAGAGAGTGAAAGAAGGAAGTAAAACAAGGCAATGGAAATTAAAGAAAAGCACTTTCTGATTGCACAGTGCGGTGTCACCAGAGAATTATGCATCAGAATATATCCAAAAATTATCATAATAATAAAAAAACCCTGCAGAAAAGTCAGAACTCAGTGTCGGAATACTAAAAGCACAGAGAAAGAGATTCCTTAATGATTCCTTTTCTCTCTGTCTTTCTTCTCATCCCTCAGAGAGGGAAAGTGTAAATGGACATAGTGTCAATAAAGCATGAGAAACCTTTTCCAGCAGAAAGAGCGCTTGAATCTCACTCCAACTATAAAGGCCAGAGAGAACTCTGGCCCTGCAGAAGAAAGAAAAAATGGAGAGAGAGAGAGAGAGAGAGGGAGAGAGAGAAGATTCCGGAAAGAGATATTTCAGGAAGAAAGAGAGAGGTTTACCGTCTGCGTACAGAACAAATCAATAAAGTGCATGTCCGGCGTCCACCTGGGAAAAGCTTGGTCCGGCACCACAGCCAAGAAGTTTTACAGCTAGGACTGGGTTCAATGCCGTACGCAGCCCATGGCCAGAGTTTAGGAGGTTATGGTGGAAGCATTTTAGAACATTTATGCATGCAGTTGCAAACAACAGAGGCAAAGCACACGGACATCTGAAGAACTGCTAAATACTGAGGAGAGACATTACTGCAAGTGAATTGTTTATGCAGAGGACTATACAAAAGTCTTAAGTTGCAGTTACCCTAGATACAGCCGTATGCAAAGGTCTGAACAAATCCGGTCAAATTACATTTTGTAGATTTTCTAAGTGAGAACAAGTTAATACATCCTCTTAAATATGGCAATTTTCTGCAAATTTCAAAGCACTACTTCCATTTATTTCCTAAATTTAACACACTGGAAGAAAATATACAGCATATTAAAGGTGCCATTACTTTTGCACAGGCCACAGTTTGTTGGTTTGTTTGTTTTCAATATCTTAAATTCAGCAAATACACAAAGTTACGAGGTTTGACCATATCAATCTGTCTGGACTGACTGAATGCAAGTTTCTTATAATCAAGACATTCTGGTCTAAGAGCTTATGCTTATGCTTAATTTTGCAACAAAAAAAATAAGCATAGGAAAATATTATTACATTACTGCTCAGTGCTGCATCATAGCTCTATTTGGTAGAAGGCCAATATTTTATACCGGATGAATTCCATTTTACATATTGGAAAAAAATTCTGTTTGTGTTACTGCACAGCTTGTATATCTCTCACTATTCACTAGTGAATTATCTACTCACGATTAAAATGCAGACACTAGTAAAAGTAAGTATAGACATGTTACTGCAGTATAAGAGGGTACACGTTTCATACTGTGTCAGTGTGTATATGTTATGGTCAGTGCACTAACCGGATCATCGAACAGCTCCATGACGAAGGTGGCAACGCTGCCATTGATGCCGATGAAGAGGTTGATGCAGGTGAGCACGACGTACGCTGTGCTCGGAACGCTGAAGAAGAACGAGGCGGGGTACATCATCGGAGTGATCGACCAGCTGTGACACAAACAAACACAAACAGCATTCACTCGATATAACCATCACCAGGGACATTTCAATATGATCACTCAAGTGGAATAGAGGAACACTCCACTCACTACATAAGCACTGAGTAATAATGTATTCCTCAGTCCTCTGATTTATTCTGATGTATTCTAATCCCCATGACTGCCTGCTTTACTGGCACTGGCACGTCTTTGGTCATCATGTTGAGAAGCAGCAACAGACTCCAGATGCAAAAGCCACCTCTGGACTTTTCAACAGCTCTCTTGTGCATGAACTAATGATGTTTTATTGTGAATCCAGTGTGCTGGGGTACAGAGCCAAAACAACAAAAACTATCACTCTCCAAAAAACTTACTGCATTGTATAAGTCTATATATAGCAAAAGTTTGGGCGTCTCTGGTTTTGTTGATTTTCTAAGGGAAAATGAGTTACACATCCTCTACAGAGAACAGATTTCTGAACACTTCATTGCATGATTACTGTTTATTTGCTGAACTAAACATATTGGGAAAAAAAAAAATCTCACATTTAATATTTTATGTTTTATTTTTGTCCAATGTGTTAAACTCAGCAAATAAATAGAGCTTGTGCATTAAAATCTGTGGAAAAACGCAAGAAATATTTAAGTTTGTTCCTTATAGAGGATGCATTTTATTTTCACTAAGATAAATCAACAATAAGTATTGATTAAATATAAACTTTTCCATTCAACTGTATCTGTAAGTGGTAAAGGATGACTATTAGAGTTAGGCCTTCAATTTGAGCCATAAATGCTAAAACCTGGTCAAAAACGGTAACACAAAACACCTTCATAATAATGTAAATTTATGCTAGCTCCCCTATGAGATTTCTAATAGTATGTTAGCACTAAGCTGCACATGATCACTTTGGCCATTCTAGATTACTTTGAAGAGTTGAAGAAAAAAGTTGTAGTATTTTGAGAAAAAAAATCATAATATTTCGGAAAAAAAGTTGTAGAATAACGACATTAAAGTGGCATTAATACCAGGAAAGCCGCAATATTGTGGCCAAAGACTCTGCAAAGAGAAGGCAGCACCTCCTTGTGTTAAAATGAGGGGCGGTGAGGAGGTGGTGGAGTTTCAATTCAATTTCAATTACTTTCAATTTCACCCATAAAGAAATACTTAAGTCTCCCTGTCTCTCCTGGCACATCAGCACCAGCCTGTTATTAGTATAAGAAACGGCTGAAACGGCTGAGCAGGAAACTGTGTTTATTTAGAATAAAGACCCAGGCGGACTCGGAGGAAACTGTCTGTCTATTTTGAATCGCAGGCAGGGTCGTCTACACGGCTATCAGTGGCTACATCTCCGCGCCATTCAAAGAGGGCATGAAATTTCACAGATGATGTGAATGATAATCAAAATGATCGATCTACAAAGAGACAGTAGTGTGTGGAACTCACGTTATGGCAGCCCCCCTCAAAATATTAAGATGTTTTTTTCCTCGAAATACTATGTCTTTTTTCTTGAAATATCACAACTTTATTCTCGAAATATTACGACTATTTTCTTGAAATATGACAACTTTTATCTCAAAATATTACAACTTTTTTCTCAAAATGTTATGACTTTATTCTCGAAGTCTACTATTTTTTATTAACAGTGGCCCTAAAACGCCGACGTAGTCTTGACATAGAGCTGCTGCTTCCCATTTCTCACAACTGGCTGAAACCTGGTAAGACTAATGCTCGTACTGCTCATAACTTCCAGAAGGCCTAGAGTGATTGTACAAAATTGGTCCCACCCCTCGTAAAATCAAAACATGATTGGTTGATTGGCAGTTAATCTAGGCCTTTGGTTCAGCTCCTGAAGTCCTAACCAATAGGAGAGCTCACTGTCTGTAACTACCTAAAAATCATGATTAGACAAATTTTCATTTGGTGTTTCAAGATCTTCAGCCATGTGTAGTGCACTATTTTATATAGATTTTCTAGGTGCTGCCAAGCCAATTACAACTCTTGGTGACCATAATCTCCAGAGTATTCTGTCTTCTACATATATAATGTAGAAAATGACAGTTTGATGAACATACTGAGTTAACATAACACAAGTTGACATACTGAAATGAATAAATATGGATGGTGTTTGTATGTGTATTAAAAGCTATTGATACTGACTTACCCATAGAGAACCAGCAGTAAGATGAGTGCCGGCAGGTTCGGAGGGGACACATACGCTTTTTGTTGAAAGCAGAGGAAGATGACAATGACGATGATGCATGGCACAATGTAGTTACACTAGAGAAAAAAAACTATTTTAAACATCATATTTACACACACAGTCATAAGCACACACAGTGGAGCCTCAATACTAGTGATTAAAAAATGGTGATTCAACTACATCCATTTTGCAATGTTAGAACAGATTATAATCTATTAATATTCATTATATCATTATATTGACAGATAATTTAGAGTATTGAGTAATATTCGCTCATTATTTTAAAAAATAAAACAGGCTATTTTCCCATGTTAAAAAGTTTATTGTATTGTTTTTATTGTCTGTATTCCACTACTGTGTAGCTCCTCTAGTCACATTTATACATTGTATTTTTAAACATGATCAAATCAATTTGTGGTAAAATCTGAGAATTCTGAATGCACTGAATCCTTTTCTAAAGCATCATAACTGAACTGAGCCAAACTGCAAAGTGTGAGATTTCATGAAGCACTGAACTGTTTCCTAAAGAATCATAACAGGATTGAATCAAATTGTGAAGAACTCTGAGATTTTTGAAACATTGAATCGTTCCTAGAAGAATCATAATTGAAATGAATCAAATTGTGGTAAAACTTGAGAACTCGATGTACTGAATCTTTTCTAAAGAATCATAGTTGAACAGATTCAAGCTGTGGTAAAGTTTCAGATTTCACGAAGCAATGAATCATTGCTTAAAGAATTGTTACTGAAATGAATCAAATTGTGGTGAAGTCTGAAATTTTTGAAACACTGAATCATTTCCTAAAGAATCATAATTAATATGAATCAAGTTGTGATCAAAGCTGAGAATTTCTGATGTACTGAACATTTTATTTTTTCCTAAAGTATCATAGTTGAACAGAATGAAGCTATGGTGAAGTTTCAGATTTCATGAAGCAATGAATCATTTCCTAAAGAACTGTAATGGAAATGAAGTTTGAAGTTTCAAGAAGCACTGAATCCCTTCCTAAAGTATAGTAATTGAACTGGATTGAATTGTGGTGATTTCATTCTGTATTCATTATGTATTGAATCATTTCCTAAATAATTGTTTTTGAAATTAATCAAACTGCCTGAGATTCCATACAGCACATACTCATTTCCTAAAGAATGATAATCAAATTGAATCAAATTATGGTGAAGTTTAAGATTTCATGAAGCATTGAATTGTTTCTTAAATAATTCGAACTGAATTGAATCGAAATGTGGAGAAATCTGAGGGTTTTTGATGGGCTGAATCTTTTTCTAAAGAATCATAAGAGAATTAAATTATTATTGTTATGAGGTCAGATCAAATCAAAACACCTTTACACGGGACATTAAACACACACACACACACACACACACACACACACACACACACACACCTGTCACCCTGTAGTAGATTGAGTTAATTCGGGGGTGCGCAGGCTACAGTTTTGACCCATGACAATGGCTGGAGGAGGAGGGATGAGAAAGCTCTGTACAATTTCTTCCCGTGGAGAATGGTAATGGTTTTCTCGGTCTAATAAATGAGAAGTCTTCTGAATAGAATACTGAGCTGAATCAATGTGTTTTTAATTAGCCGTCTCAGTGCTTCTTTTCAATCTTCCCCGCCTGCGTGCGTCCATCCATCCTCTCTAAGTGCTGAGGGGGCCCTCTCTGCGAGAAGGGGTTAATTGGATATAATCCGTAATTGAAGAAATCTTTAGCATGTTTAAGAAACGTGTAGCGAATATTCATCTGCAGGACGGCCGCCCAAACCGCAAGGCTTCACTGGAGAAAGACTGTGACAACAAAAGCAGTTGAGCTGTCCATGCTCTGCCCACAAACGTGTTTTTGCAATTATTCCTAGACAGGAGGTTATTCCGGGTCCGGCAGTGCGGCGGGTAGCAAAACGGTGCTTTTTTGCTATTTTTTGGTTTACTATCTGTTGTGTAACTCAACCAAAACTATATATCATGACTGCTTCAATCAGCACCAGCGTCTACCATACTTTCATCTGGAACGTTGCTTCTAATACTGTGTTTACACTGTTTTACTACCTCGGTAACTGCTGTAAATTATTCCTAGACTGGACAAGTTTTACAGAATTTCTGTTGTATTTACGTTGAACGTACATGGAATTTGTGTAATTTATTTTCAACCACAATGTTGGCCTAGCATTTTAACAGGCCACTTCAATTGTAGATACCTAATGTTTATGCTGTGTCCTGACCATTAAAGAACAGAGTAAATGGGGCAGAGTATGGACTACATCTTACCTATATGGTAAGTGAAGCTGATAAAAATGGACAATGAGTGTAGATACAGAGAGATGCACTTAATGAAGAGGCTCATCAGTTTATGGTTGAACTGTTCCTTTAAGGGTATGCCTTTAGGTCAAAAACATGCATTTAATTATATTCTGATGGGAACTGCATATATCTATAAAGAAACAACTGGACTGGACAGAATTTAAATTAAGTTAAACAGCAGAGAAGAATGGCCCTTCTTTGTAGTCTGGAAACCAGTGTCAGTGTAAAAATGTAAACAAAAAGGATGAAAGAAAAGGTGGTTGGACCTTAGAAAAGGAAAACTGGGGTTCTGTTCTATCTGAGACAGCAGTTTAACGACAGGCTTGAATTTCCAGTGAACCATCATCGTATTAACAGTAATTAGTAGTCTCTTCTCACAGATCCCCTAGTCATGGACAAGTGTTATCCACACTATAATTTATTAACCTTCACAAGCATAGCGATGCTCTTTTTCGATCTATAGTAATATGTAATTTTGGTTCGCACAAGCATAGCAATACGCGTTTTCAGTCCTCACATCATTGCAATACATGTGTTCGGTCCTCACGAGCACAGCAATACTTGTTTTCTGTCTTCACAAGCATAGCAATACACATTTTTGGTCCTCATAAGCATAGCAATCTGAATTATCAGCTCAAGCAGTACAGCAATACGTGTTCAGTCCTCACAAGGATAGCAATATGCGTTTTTGCCCTCACAATTATAGCAATACAAGCACACCTATATACACCCAGTGACAAGCACGTGGCTGACCTCAGCTCATCTGAGAGGGAGAATAAAATATTAAAATGAGGAGCAAATGGTGATGGCTCACGGCTAAATCCGTCCGACTGCTGCCATAATGATATTTCACTGGCAATTTACACACACATGTATATGCGCGCACACACACGGATACACATGCACGCTAGATGACCTGAGAGATGCTGTATGTAGAGAAGAGAGGGGAGAGAATTCACACTGACGTTCAGGCATTCATGACAGATGCCACAGAAACGGAAACATCGATTACACTCTTAAATACAGTCTGGAAGTAAGAAGAACGTGTGTGTGTCTGTCTTATATTCTCCATACAATGTGTACTGGATAGTATTACTGTAGAATGTACTGTGTATATTATTATTCAGTATACATTCATATAATGAGTACTACCCAGGAACCTTTGCATAGTGTACAGTCAGTACACTCAGTGTCACAGCTGGACTGAGAATAGTCCACCAACCAAAAATATCCAGTCAACAGCGTCCTGTGGGCAGTGTCCTGTGACCACTGATGAAGGACTAGAGGATGACCAACACAAACTGTGCAGCAGCAGATGAGCTATCGTCTCTGACTTTACATCTACAAGATGGACTGACAAGGTAGGAGTGTCTTATAGAGTGGACAGTGAGTGGACACAGTGTTTAAAAACTCCAGCAGCAATGCTGTGTCTGATCCACTCGTACCAGCACAACACACACTAAAACACCACCACCACGTCAGTGTTACTGCAGTGCTGAGAATGATCCACCACCCAATTAGTACCTGCTCTGTGAGGGTCCATGGGGGTCCTGACCACTGAAGAACAGGGTAAAAGTGGGCTAACAAAGTATACAGAGAAACAGATGGACTACAGTCTGTAACTGTAGAACTACAAAGTGCACCTATACAGTGAGTGGAGCTGATAAAATGGACAATGAGTGTAGAAATAAGGAGGTGGTCATAATGTTATGCCTGATCGGTGTATAGTGTTCACATACTGTGTAGAGTTCAGCATACAGCATTCCTGTATAGTTTTTCAGTGTAGAGTGTGCTGTCTTTAGTGTATTGAGTTGAGTATTTACGATGTATTTTGTTTGATGTACGTTGTTCAGCATTTATTGTACAGTGTGGAATGTTTAGTAAACACTGTCTAGTGTTTATTATACAGTATACATTGTTTAGTGTACAGTGTCCAGTGTTTATTGTACAGGACCAGCGTGGTAAGAGAGGCAGCGCTGGATTTGTGCTATATAAGACTCGTGGAGGTAATTTGGTGACCAAAAAATACTTTGTGAATACAGAATGAAATCACCACAATTCAATCCATTTCAATTACTATATTTAAGGAAAGACTTACTTCAACATAGCTTCATTCTGTTCAACTATGATGCTTTAGGAAAAAATAAAATATTCAGTACATTAAAAATTCTCAGAATTTATCACAACTTACAAAGTTTTTGTTTTGCATTAAACAGTTGCTAAGTTGTAATATGGTCATTATTCAGTGACAAAAAGTCAAAAAGATCATTAAATGACCACAATATACAGTGATGGGTGGCGGAACGTTCTTCTCCTAATTCAGTAATCCATGGTCGATTAGCAATGATGCCATACTCTACTACATTTATTGGTGAAATATTTGTTTATGCCACTTTTTATTAATAATAACTTCTTTATAATTTCTGAAAAATTGTGCATTTTATCATATTTTATGTTGGCCACTGTTTTCTAAAAGCAACAAGCCACTCAAGGCCATGCATTACTGTAATTTTATCACAGGGACGGGTGTTCTTAGGCACGACACAAAGCAGAGTTACACATGGCCTCTAATGGCTTATTGCTTATGCCTGGCCCTACCTATCAGTACTATGTTCCAGTTGATGTGTGCTCATATGTGTGCATCTATCTAGTATTTTATAATGGCTATTGTTGTGAACTGCTTGATAAATATGGCTCAGCCAATCAGATTTCAGAACTGGAGCTTTGTGTTTTATATTTAATATTTTAATAGGCTGTGTCCTTGACTGTAGGCATGCCAGTCAATCAAACTCCAAATAACAACATTCAGTTACCAGTCAAAAGATTTTGCCAAAATACGCATCCCTGATGTGCAGTGTGTATAATGTTCACTGTACTGTAGGCAGTGTTTAGTGTACCATGTCCCAGGTGAAGTTGGCCACCCAGTAGCCTGCAGGATTCACCCCGCTGACGAACTGCAGGTGTTTGGCTTTGCTGACGCGCTCCTGGATGAGGAAGAGGACGAAACTCGCTGGGATGAAGGACATGGCGAAGATCACGCAGATGGACACCACCACATCTGTGGAACTGGATGCCCTGGAGATGAGACAGTGTACATATTGACTTGTCAATGTGTCAGTGCACAAACAGATATAGAAATGACTTCTCAGTGTGAAACAGTTCTTGACTTTGACACCATAATGTAATGAGTTCATGCAGGTTAGGAGCTGATCTTCAGTCAGCACTAAACAACTGATTTAATCAATATACACCCACTCACAGTCTCAGGCTAAAAACAACACAGTTGTTTAGTTTTCCCTGAGGTGGACAGCGTACAGCTGTGAAGGGCAACTGCATGTTTGCATGGAATTATTTTTGCTCGGCTTAAGCAATAGTCAGCACTTTATAGACCTTCCTGTCATCAATAACCAATTTATTAGCCAATAGATTAATTAATTATCAATTACTCATTTATTTATGGATCAACGGACATTCAAATCACTCCTAAGAGTGCAATCACTGGTGTTTTGGAATGATACTGTGCAGTAGACTCGTAGGAGTCAACACCAAAGACAGAACTGCCTGAAGCATTCCAAACATGACCTTGACCTCTACCAAGACATGAAGGCCCTGAGGTGACCTCTGACCCTGACTGAGACTTTTTGGAGAGCAAAAGCCAGGGTTCATGCCTTTTATGACCTGCTCTCTGTAAATCCACCTACTGCTTGCGTCCTCTCATCCATCATAATGACATTAAATAACAACGTCTGGATCAACAGTGACCTTCTTGCTGGTTCAGACCATGTTCGTTACACTACCACCTCATTCAGCTCATGAAGTACTGGCTAACTTGGAGAGGAATTGAATTGGAGTGTGTTGGAGCTGGGATAACACCTATGGGAGGCAAATCCAGCCAAAAAAGAAATTAAAATTAAAACAATAAAACGTAAATGCAAAACCTCTTTTAACCATTTCTTTTTCCAAACATCTGCGCAAATATCCTGCCAAAATTGAAAATGAAATATCTACATTTGCAATTTCATTTTTCACATAAGCACGAGTAATTAGTGACAAAAATAAAAATACATTTAAAACAGCTATTTGTCAATATGTTAATTAGCACTAGGCGGGGCTTCGGGGTACATTTTAGGACATCCTCAGACCTCAGAGTCAGAACGACATCATTCCTCAAGCTAAATGACTTAGAGTCTCGAGAAAAACCATTGTCATGTCTCAGATCTGGTGAAACTGAACTGCAGACCAAACGCCGTCAGACCAAACAGCCTCAGAGAAAAGGTATCAGACCAAACGCAAGCCTGGTCAAGCATATACTGGTTCGTGTAACTAAGAAAACTATTGTGTATCTCAATATAAATGCCAGTATAACATTTTCAAAGTTTTTTCTGAGGCTGCTTGGTCTGTTTAATTTGGTTGCTTTCACTTTAATTCCAAAACTAAGAATTTAGTTACTGCATGGGAAGGTAAATAAAAAAGAAAGCTTTGTAAATTCCAAAAAAAATCTGATTTGATCCAGGAACAACATTGCAATGTGCACATAAAGTGGTCTATATGCAAGGCTAATGTAAAACAATATCAAAAGTAGGCATGTCAGACTTTTTACATTTTTCAATAATGATAAAATCAAATTGAATAATAAATTATCATTTTTGATAAGTGAATCTCTTTCTTCTGTTATATATGTTCTCACATTTGAAAACCATGAGATGTTTATAGTTATATCAAATAAAAAGCGTTACAGAAAAGCACCAAGCGCTCATTTTACACTCTGCTTGTATAGATTTAAAGGCTCATTGTATGATTTCAAACAAATACACTTTTTGTCAAACTCAATTCATATCTCCTCACGGTCCGCTAGCTGTCTGTTCTGTGTGTAAGCTGAAAAAAATTCCAGTGTTCGTATACAGTACAAACTCTGGATGTACACTGGATGTACACAGTGATCTGTAAATGGGAAATAGACAATGCGGCTCATGATGAGAAACACATCACTATTCCAGCCAATCAGCAACAGGGGGTGTTCATGCTCGTGCACAGGACAAGTAGAGGGGCTATGTGCTGAACTACACACAGTGTCAAGAAGGAGAGATGGTAAAAAACAGACAAAAAGGAAAAGATTTGCAGAACAAAGATGGAGGAAGAGGTTCTTAGATCAGGCAAAGGCGAAGAGCCATGCTGGACCATTAGTGAGGCGTTTTAATGGTGGAGAGATCTCAGAGAGTCAACAAAATGGAAGTTGGTTTCCTATTTGCATTGTCTCATTCCACCTTAAATCGCGTAGTAGTTCCATTCTGGCACCTAAGGTGCCTGAATCTGACTGCTGTACCGTTTTCGAACAAGAAGCTGGCGAAAAAGAAACCGATTTCAGGTTCATTAAGAATTGAAAGCCATGAACAGGGACAAGGAGGTTGCTCCTGTTTGACAGTGGGTGACATTAACTTATTTTGTGTTGTTTTACAGAACCGGTAGGTCAGTACTGCTTTGTCTCATTTGCACTGTTTAAGATTTTATCTTAAACAGTGTGTTACTTGATTAACTAATGATTTACATTCTGTTTCAACAGGTTTGACTCGAGTTGAGTCAGACATTTTCATTGTTTTGATGGCAAACGTTAACAAACACTGCATAAATTCAAAAGAAAAGTCATTCTTTCTGTAAAATAACTGTATACACAACAATAACTTTTCATCAAAAAATAATCTCCACTCCTACGTACAAATGTGGTTTGGACTGAAAGTTTAGAATCCACATCATTTTTAGCCTTGTTTCAATGAGTTATAAGAAAACTAATCAACTTTTCTCTTAATAATACAGATGCTTTAGTTATCGCTGGTGATAACTATGATACGTATGTGTAGCAGTGAACTATTTCAATATTTATACATTTCAAGCTGGACAGTAATTTGTTACATTGTTGTTAGTTTGCACATGCTTTTAGATATTTGGTACAACTTCTTATATTAAAGATCAAACTTTCGGGAATATGGTGGGCCTGTTTTGCCCTATCTCTCACTTGTTTCAGGTTACATGCTGTTGAGAGCCCAGAGATCTTCAGATCAGTTTCGACTAAGGGCTCCCTGTTCAAAGAAAAAGCTAAAGGGTGACCGAGCTTTCTCAGTAAGAGCTCCAAGGCTCTAGAACAGCCTCCTCATGAAGATCAGACGTGCATCTTCCCTACAGTCATTCGAGTCAAGGCTTAAAATACGCTTGTATTCTTTGTCTTCTAGAAATGGTTGATGGTATCTGATTGTCCTGTGTTGTTTTGTGTTTTTCTTTCCTTCTTGGTTTTAATCATACTATATAAATAAATGTTACTTACAAACCTAATTTCGAGAAAGTTGAAACAGTACGTAAAAGGCAAATCCACACAGCAAGAAGTAATTTGTAAAATTTTACAGGTATTTAATTGAAACCTGCACAAGGTAGATATATTTAATATTTGACTTTTACTAAGACTGAAAAGTTTGTGATCAAATGAATAGGTAGCAGGCGATGCTATCATGATTAAAAGGATCATTAATGAAAAGTTCAGTCATCATTTCGTGAAAAACTGTGAGTGAATAGGCCAAAATTTTAAGAACAACATATCTTAATGCATGACTGCTAGGAATTTAGGGATTCTGCAATCTACAGACCATAACTTTATTTAAAGATTCAGAAAATCTGGCAAAACCTCTGTGCATAAAGGGCAAGGCCAAAAACCAATATTGAATGCCGATGACCTTTGCTCCCTCAGATGGCACTAAAACCTGACATGCTTCTGTAATGAATATCAACACATACGTCAGAATACCCTTATCAGCAAAAACAATGTTTGCCGCCGCATCTACAAATGCAAGTTGAGAATCTGCTACGAAAGCAATAAAGCAACAACATCCTGAAACGCCGCTGACTTCTCTGGGCTAAAGCTCATCTGAGATGAGGCCAAAGAGGAAAAGGATCATCACAATCACTACCAGTGTGATGTTCAAAAGCCAGCATCTGTCATGGTATAGTGGTGTGTTTGTGTCAAAGGTACAGGCAACTTGCACATCTGTGAACGCACCATACTTTAAGGGGTACATTTTACAGCCACATATGCTGCCATCTAGACTGCATCTTTTTCAGGGAGTTTGTACTGCACGTGTTACAACAGTGTGCTATATCAAGCAACAACTCCAACAACTGGTATCCTCAGTTCCTAAACAATCACTTAACATTGTTTAAAGGAAAAGTGATGTAACACAGTGGTAAACATGCCCCTGTCCCAAATTTTGGAACATGTTTTAGGCATCAACTTTAGAATAAGTGAATATATACAAAAGCAATAAAGTTAATGAGATGAAACAGTTATAATATCTTGTCTTTTCACTGTTTTCAATGGAATACAAGTTAAAAGGGATTTACAAAGCCTGTTGGTTTTCATTCACATTTTCCTACTTTGCAAACTTTCCTAAAATTGAGTTTGTACTTACTACTTATCACCTTGTGGTCACAGTCTATACTGGATGAAGAGCATTCTCGTTTTCTGTCCTGAGCCTGAAATCAATAGAGGAATTCTGATCCTGATCAGCAGCCTGGGCCTGCGCTTTAAGAATGCAGGAGTAGCCCTTTCTCTCTCTCTCTCTCTCTCAGCTCTCTGCCAAGCTTGCTCTGCCTTCACACCCCTTTTCACACCCCCTACTGCTGGACTTTGATAGATTTCTCTCTCTCTCTCTTTCTCTCTCGATTTCTTTTTTCTACCCTCACGCTTACCACCCTCTGAGATGCCTAAGGGTTCTGCCCACACTCACGCATACACACACAGTCTGAAGGTCAGTGTGCTGCAGTGCTGTTTTATTCATCATTAATGTGGATACACTGCAAGAGTGTTGATCCCTCAATGAAATTCTCATTAGGTAACGGGGAAGGATATGGCCAGTTACCCTCCGTCTTTGTCTCTGACACAGAGCCCCAATTCCTAATGATCCATCTTCATTTACAACACAGTGCTGTCAACACACCCTCACAAGGTGGGCTCAATTAAGCGTGAAAGCACACACGTGCACACACACACGCATACACACGCTCACATGCTACCTACAGGGATATCACCATATTAAATAAGCCCCCCGTACTAAAGTGGAAGTGCATTTATCAAAGTGGGCCAGACGCAATCAGGCCAGCAGACTGTGATGTGCTTTAATATGCTTTAATAATAACGGGCCACCGACACGCGGGCAGAGAGACGACTTTATTTAAGAACGTGGACCAGCAGCACGATTCAGGTAACCTTGAACGCCAGCAAAGAATAAAGACCCGCTAATGAACTAATAACTAGTGAGGTTACAGCACGCACACCTACATATCCACCCACTATACTGATGCAGAGCTGTGAGCTGCTGGAACTCGCAGAAAAAGAACTGATTAGTCACTCAGTGTAGTGAGCGCATCTGATTGGCTGAATACTCAGACTGCCTTGTAGGAGAGGCTCTGATTGGCTGCATACTTATTTTGAATGATTTTCATTACTTGGTTGAATTGTATTTTGTATTATGTATACAATTCAGTTATAATAAATGTATAAAATATATATGCAAACATAAAAAGGCATTTTTAATATATTTAGATTTTTTACCATTTTCTTCTTTAAATATCTTCTTTTAGTCCTGCTTGGCTGAACACTTAGAGAATGATATATGAAAGCTCCTCACTGGCAGAATATTCACAAAATGATATATGAGAGGTCCTGATTGGCTGAATACTCACAGAGCCATATGAGAGCTCCTGACTGGCTGGATACTCACAGAGCCACATGAGAGCTCCTGATTGGCTGAATACTTACAGAGCCAAATGAGAGCTCCTCATTGGCTGAATAATCACAGAGCCACATGAGAGCTCCTGATTGGCTGAATACTCACGGAGCCAAATGAGAGCTCCTAATTGGCTGAATAATCACAGAACTATATGAGAGCTCCTGATTAGCTGAATACTCACAGAGCAACATGAGAGCTCCTGTTTGGCTGAATACTCACAAAGCCATATGAGAGGTCCTGATTGGCTGGATACTCACAGACTAATATATGTGTACTCTTGATTGGATGAAATCTCACCAAATGATAATCTGACTGGGTGAGCACTCTAAAGACAATACATGACAACTCCTGATTGGCTGAGTGCTCAAAGAGTGATAGACTAGAGCTCCTGATTGGATGAACGCTAAATACAGGACAAAAGCACTCCTGATTGACCGAATGCTCCCAGAGAAGACCTCATTGGCTGAATACTGAACATGGTGAAAGGTTTGAGAGTCCTTATTGGGCTTACAAGCAGTAAACAAGCTCTCATGACTGGCTGAATATTCACAAGGTAGTATATGAAAGTTCCTGATTGGCTGAAAAATCAAGGCACACCTCGTGACTGGATGCATACTCACAAGACTGCGGAGAGCTGCTGCTTGGTGAGGTTGAGTGGATGGTTGAATGCTGAGATGCCGTAGAGTTTTGGCTGCAGTCCGGCCGGAAGATTCCCTCTGAGGATGGCATTGGTGGCTATGTTCAGGAATGATGCTATTGAATGCCAGCCTTGGTTGTAGAACCACACCTAACACACAAAGACAAAGAGAGAAAGAAGGGGAAGAACAAAGCAGGAAGGAAGAAACAAGGTTACAAAATGGGGGTGGGAGAGAAAGACAGTCAATAGTAATTAATATTTCTGGCTTCTTTACTCAGCACTCAGAGTAAATTGCCCATAATGCTCTCCATGTTTCTCTCATTATCTGAAGCCAGTGTGAGAGAGGGAGAAAGAGAGAAAAAAGGAATAAGGGTCTAATTGACCAGGCAAACAGGGGGATGGAGGAAGAGATGAACACAGAAATGAGGCTCACCTCCCCAATGGCACTACAGCTCTAATTAGTGCTGCTCTATCTGCTGTGCAAGACCTCCTACAAGTCTCTAATGCTACATCACACACCCACGATGTGTGCGTGTTTGATGTTCAACCCTATTCAGCAATTCTTCAGAGCATATTACAATCTCATGCCGGCTCCCGAAAGGAAAGTGACACATTTGCAGCAGTGTAAGCTATAAATAATGAAGATGATAATACAATTAAGGGGCATTTAAGCTGTTAACCAGCATTCATCCCCATCCAAAAGAGAACAAGAAAAATGGTGGCTACTTACTTTCACATTGTTTTTGGTTCCGAGCTCTATCAGCAACGTCTCCAAGTCCTGGAAGACCTTATCGGTTACATCATTCTGGAGGGAGAGACAGAGAAAGGAGGAGAAAGTGAGTTTGAATATACACTTGAACAGTGTCAAAGCTCAGTTTCTGATCTCAGAGCTGCTCTTGGTTGGACATTTTTACTTGACCACATTTGTAAAAAACCCAGCAATACCAGTGAGGTAGAGGAGGCTGATTGTGGAGAAACAGAAGGGCTACATGTCACTGTACACATGTATAGTGAAACTATTAGGCATAAGGCGTTTCTGATAAAGTGTCCAGAGAGTGGAAGTACAAGCCAGGTGTTTCTAATAAAGTGGCTAGTAAATGGAAGTACAATGTAGGTGTTTCTAATAATGTGGCCAGTGGAAGGTAGTATAAGGAAGATGTTTCTAATAAAGTGGCCAGTAAATGGAAGTACAAGGTAGGTGTTTCTGATAAAGTGGCCAGTAAATGGAAGTACAAGGTAGGTGGCCAGAGAGCATAAATATATATATATGTGTGTGTGTGTGTGTGTGTGTCAGATAGAATGGTCTGAGATTAGTCCAGGTCTGTGGGTGTGCAAGTAATGGAGATTTGCATAGGGAACATACAGCTATGCAGCTGTGTGTGTGAGTGTGTGTGTATCAAAGGCAGCACTGCGTATCTGTCTCAAACACACAGTGACAGGTCAAGAGCCAACCTGACACACCATCTCCCCCCTGAGATTAGAGATGCAGACACACACACAGATACATGTGATTTAAATGCTAATGGTGAGAGCATCGGAGACACAATCACGCATACATGAGCATGACCTGGCCCTTCAGAGAGAGAGAGAGAGAGAGAGAGAGAGAGAGAGAGAGAGCAAAAGAGAGATAGAAAAGAGAAACGAGAGGAAGAGGGAGAGAGTGACAAAGAAAAGAGAGAGAGCGAGAAAGCATAAAAGAGAAAATGAGAAAGAAAAAGAGACAAGAGGCAAGAGAGAGAATGTGGGAGAGAGTGGAAGACAGAAAGCAAGAGAGAGAGAACGAGAGAACAGAGAAAGAAAAGAGTAAAAAAAGTGTGTGAGAGGGAGAACGGGAGACAGAGAAAGCAAAAGAGAGAGAAAGAGAGCAAAAGAGCAAGAGAACCTGAGAGAGTGAGAGAGAGAGAGAAAGAGGAAAAGAGTAGACAGTGACTGGACTCCACTGATCAATCTGGACAGACAGAACTGTCTGGTCTTACTCGTACACATCTATGAATAATACATAACTCATAAACATGTTACACATGCAGTGACCTCTGCTAGAGAAGATGGGAGACTCACACCCTCTTCAGGGAGATCCGATTAGCGTCCAGTTTCCTAATGCTCATTTATCTCGGGCTCTTACAATCTTTGCCAAGCAGTGTTTGCAGTACAGTGGACGTGAACTGCTCTTTAAGACGCCATGATGTCTCTTAAGTCTCATCATTCTGTATTTTTACAGGAAAAAAGTGAAGCCCCATCCAGGAAATGCCAACCCACATCCCTGTCTAGGCGTAAGAGCACCACCAATGATTGCAGTGTTTTCTTGTGCAGAAATTTGTATTGATTTTTGAGCGCACAGGTCACACTCTGTCTCAGGGAAAATTTCTGAAATTGCACTTCTCCATGCTCTGATGGCTGTGCCACTTACTCTCTGAAAACTGCCAAATGATCTTTGACGAACAGCTGGAATTGCTATGCTGGGAAAACACGCATTAAAGAAATATTTGCTCAAAAACTGAATAGTGAGAGTTTTCCCCCGTTCTCATAACTGTAGCTAAGTAACAAGTAATAGGAGTTAATTGCACTTTACAGCAGTTGGCATGGTGCATGCATAAATCATCAGATACGAGCCTCAATCTGTGTTAAGTTGTTGAAGGGGAATCGTAAAAAAGTAAAAAGGTTACCTCACAGGAAGCCGGTATACGAAACTGTTCTGAATACATTACCTGATGTTTCAAGTAAAAGAGCAGGGTGACTTTATGCTCACCTGGAAGTGCAAACACTATGTTAAATTGTTGTTGGCTTGGCTTCACATGCTACCAAAGACGGAGGAGAGCACCTGGAGTACCATTAGGTTCTGCTGATACTAATCTTGAGCAGCTACCTAAAACTATAAAAGTAGAATCTTCGGAACTGGACCGATGACCAACACAGTTTTCCATAGCTTTCTTCCTTATCCCATACAAGACAATCACCCAGGCTTGGTGTCCGCATCCTACGTTAAATTTAGTTTTTTATTTTTTCTTTTGGGGGTCAACTTAGAACACTTGTGTGTTTTTTTTGTACCAAAAATGGTCATTATTCATTTTTACATGATCATTTTCCAACCTCTCTTTATCCCTTAGAATTAAACAGGCTGTTTTGGTTACAGTGCCTTTAAGACTGATGTGTGTACTGTATGGAGCCTCATTCAAAAGCACTTAGACATGAAACACACCTTATAACTTCAGTGTCAATGGGCAGGGCTAAACTGTTGTATGATGTTGCAGGATGTATAGGGGGATGCATTGGTCCACGTGACATCACATAAGCAATAAATTCAAAATGGGCTGTTTTTGCAGCTTAGTGGGTAATGAATAGGAAGTTTTGAAACTACATTTCTATATTTCTTCAAACTCCTTTATTTAAAAAAAGTGAGGGAAATTCAGGTTTTTCATGATATGGGAAAAATGCTGCTACTGTTTTTAAAAATGCTGCTACATGTTTGCCTGCAGGCCCGAATGAAGGACTCTTCGTATACAGCCCAGAAATGCAGCCTACGTTCTGAGTGATTTCAAGGACACATCAGATGTATCCTTCCAGGCCTTCGGTTACCCACAGTTCTCTGTGCACAAATGATGTGAAGGGGAAAAAAAAAAAAACAGCACCATGAAAATGGCAGAAAACGAAATCATTTCAGCAGAGCTTGTTTTGAAATGCAAGTTGTTCATGTCCTTCAATTCGTTTCATGACCTTATAAAGTGTAAAATGATTAATTAATTAAAGCATTCATACGATATTCTATATTGTACGTATATTGTGTTTTCGTTTGCAAGTGTAAAAAAGCAATGATTCCAGATTTCTGGGGCCAAAGGTTCCAGTACTTTGCACAGTGGAAAAAACACCCTAGCAGTGCCTGGGTCCTGTCAAACAGAACTAGTAATGTATGTATTTTTTGTTGTGAACTTCTCCCACACTTCGAGAGGGTTACTGAGAGTTCTACGCGTGTATAAGGTGCGTTTGCTATACCTGGGATGAGTTGAAGAGAGCTCTGAGATCCAAAAGAGCCGCCGTTATCTCAGACTCGTTCATTCTGACCTGAGAGTTCACTCCTCCAACAGAAATCCCTCCGTAACTGACAAGAAAGAAAGAGAAGTATTAGAATATTAGTCACATACGCACTCAAAAATATCCTGAAAAGCTTCTTTGTCAAGGTAGCAGTAGGGTTATTCTCTGTTCTGGAGTCTCAGGTATTATATTACTATAATGTGATATTCTTTCATCTGCTCAGATGTTTGATGTCTGATGTGATGCCCTATGCCTTTTTATTTATAGAGTTCCATATTTATGACTGTTCTGCTGTTTCTTGACAGACTTGCCTTTCTAATAGAGCCCTGACATCTTACCGAAATAGACCATCACATGGTCAATAATGGATGCAGTGCACTTTTACCGTATTTTTCCAGACTTTGCATAAGTCTTGAGCAGAAAGTCGGTCATGTTTCGGCCAGAAAGGTCATGCAGAGTGTCTGTCGTGTTCTGTGTTCTCTATAGAGGGAAGGAGGGAGGGAAGGCGAGGGAGGGGGTGAGAGAGAGAGAGAGAGAGAGAGAGAGAGAGAGAGAGAGAGAGAGAGAGAGAGGCAAATGTCAAATGTTTGATGTGTCACATATCAAATGTCAGATTGGGCCACCTGAAAAAAAATATATTTAAAGCTTTTTATCTGGGCAGTAAACGTTTATTTCCTTGGAACTGAGTTTGTGCCATTAGTATGTTAGCTTAACTGTTTCCTAACCTCTCCTCAAGTTAGCATCCAATACCTGGTTAAGCTAATCAATATTTCATTAAATTAACCCTTAGAGGCCAGTGACAATGGTTCAATGAATGAATTAATAATTTATTTAAATTATTTCTCACTTGAAGTGGAGAAATTCTGTGGAAAGTGCAGATACCAAGCTTTCAATCCAGGAGATATTTTATGTAGACGAAATTTAATGGAACGTTACTGTTGTCTCCACAGTCTTGTTTAGCAGAAACAAAAAAAAAATCAATCTTTGCCATGTTTTTGTCCCTTAACCTCTTTCCTGTAAGCACAGTTTGCAAATCAAATGTAATTCAATGTGTAAATTCATAAGTACATTTAAACAGTATAGGGAAACAAACAAATGAGCCTTGATTTAAGGGCACGTTCTTATTTGCATCTATTCTAATGTTCTGTAGCGCTTTTAACAGAACAAAACACAGTTACTGCTCAGAAAGTTTTTAAACATTACTGTTTAATCATGGTCACTTCTACTGGTCAGCACCCTGAGGAAAGAAGAAAAAAAAAGACGCAGAAGGACACAATGTTTCAAGACAGTAAACACTGCAGATGACATACCGGCCTTTTTCCCTCATTGTCTCATCATTTAATTGCTAATTTGCAGAGAGGGTTCAGGGGGCGGACCTTTACACTGGTCATAATTGCCAATTAACAGATCAGTAAGAGGCTCATCACCCTTACACACACACGCGCGGACACACGCACACGCACACACACACACACACACACTCAGAAAGCATACTAAAACTTTGTTGACTGAGTCGTCCTCGCCATTCAAGCTGATTAATGATATTCATGTATGCAGATGAGGCTGAGGTGTTGATTGGTTCTCTGTTGGTATAATTAAGAGAAACTGTGTCCCCTTGTATTCACTCACTGAGAACAGCTTCAAATTTACCACACTTGGTTAGTGACACACACGCACACACACGTTTGTTTATATAACTTGTCAAGACAAAGTCATACATATATCTTCTATACTGTATACACTGACTGGCCACTTCATTAAAACCACCTCCTTGTATCTACACTTATTGTCCATTTTATCAGCTCAACTGACCGTATAGGAGCACTTTGTAGTTCTACAATTACAGACTGTAGTCCATCTGTTTCTGCCCCCTTTCACTCTGTTTCTCAATGGTCAGGACCACCACAGAGCAGGTACTATTTGGGTGGTGGGTCATTCTCAGCACTGCAGTAACACTGATGTGGTGGTGGTGTGTTAGTGTGTGTTGTGCTGGTCTGAGTGGATCAGACACAGCAGTGCTGCTGGAGTTTTTAAACACCTCAGTGTCGCTGCTGGACTGAGAATAGTCCATTAACCAAAAATACCCAGCCAACAGCGTCCTGTGACCACTAATGAAGGACTAGAGGATGACCAACACAAACTGTGCAGCAGCAGATGAGCTACTGTCTCTGACTTTACATCTACAAGGTGGACCAACAAGGCAGGTTTGTCTAATAGAGTGGACAGTGAGTGGACACAGTGTTTAAAAACTCCAGCAGAATGAAAATGAAGGGTAGCTTTGAAAAGGCTTTGTAAAGGTTAAGGGCTGACACACTACATACTGAAAAAAGTAATATAATATTATATTTAATAGTTGAGGCTTCCGTTTAAAGTTCTGTTAAACATAAGCATTCTTCTTTTTCCTGACACTGAAAAATGAATAACTTGTATTTAATGGCTGCTTTGACTGGAAATTAAATAACTCATTTGCACAGGACTGTATATGTAATAATTTGTCCCATATGTATTATGTTTAAGTACGGTAACCAGAAATAAATGCTGTGACTGAGTGATGGACTGAGAGATGAAGTACATGTTTTGAGTGACTAACAATAGACTCATCCATTTAGAAAATAATGCGTAAGCTGAATAAATGTCGTCTGCTTATTATGTTTACGACAGTAGTTAATCATACGAAGCTAATCATAAGCTTCATTGTTTATCAATTATAATTATTTATCAGTGAAGTGCAGTCTGGGACAGCAGTTATTCATATAGGACTCATCATAAGTTTGTATTATTTTTCAGTAAATAATGCACATTAGTGTTGGGGTGTATTACAATAAACAGTATCCTGTGGTTTTTGTACTGTATGACCGTATTGTTAAGTTGTCAAAACTGTCAAATAATTTATGTTCCACATCTTTCTAACACACTTCAAAATAAACAACTAAAACACACACGACACACACACACACAATACATACACACACACACGCACACACAAACATATAAACAGACAAAAAACACAAACAAAATAAACACAAGCATACAAACATACACATACAACAGACAAACACAACACAATACACAAGCAAATATACACAAAACACACACACACACAAACATACAGCAAACACACAATACACAAACAACACAAACACACATACAAACACAAAACACGCACTCAAAACATACACAACACATGCAAACACACACAAAAACGCACATACACATGCATAAACACACAAGCACGCACAAAACTCACACCAGCACACACAAAACTCACTCATAACACACTCAGAAACACATACACACAAAACACACATACACATACATACACACACACAAACACACACTCACACACACACTCACATATACAAAATACACACACACAAAACAAACACAAAAACATACAAACACATGCAAAACACACACAAACAGACACATACAACACCCACATACAGCAAACACAAACACACACACGCGTACGTTCTTGCACTCTAGAAGGTTAATTGTTGAAGTTACTTTTCTGAGTGCCATTGCCATGGAAACTATAATTTTATTAACAAACTTGCACAGCCTTCACATTCCAAGGACGAGAAAGGTAAAAAGAACGACAGCAACAGAGAAAGAGAAAGAGAAGGAGAGAGAGAGAGAGAGAGGGAGAGAGAGATTACAAACAGACAGCGACTATCTACGGTTGGCAGTCAGTTGTCACAGATAGAGTCTTCACCGTCTGTGTCATTCTTAAAGGACTCATTCCTCATTCATCCGTCTTACTCCGGGATGAATTTACTCTATACGGAGTAATTTCCCACACCAGCAAGTGTCCTCACGACACTGCTGAGAAAATCCGAAAAGCATGGCTTGCATATGAATCTCTGCATCTTAAAATGTCCTTTAAAAAGTAGTGCGAGTCCTTAAACTCATAACACCACAACACTCCTCTCTGACATACTCATACAAATAACTGACACCTGGTGACACTGATGTTGCTACGTTTATTTGACATTTTGTAACCATGAATAGCTTTTTCCTTTTCCGCTTCATATTGCTTTATGGGTCAATTAAGCTTGTCCAGTGCCACAGTTTCAAGTCCATTTTACACCAGACGTGTTCAGTTGATAGAGTGTAGAGTGTTTGCTATACTTTCTTGTTATTTTTTTACAGGAACACACAAGTTAATATAACCTGCAGATGTCTTTATTCTGTTTACCAATTACATAAACTTCATCTAAACGACATTCAAAGCTAGCTATAACTATTTGAAAGAGGTCTGACTGGCCTCCTCACTTATTTCCCTTATCAGTCCAACAGACTCTGCAACTATCTCGAAATTTGCACTAGTGCAATGCTGCTGCTACACTTTAAAACAGCTGTCTGTGGTTTTGATTACGGACCTAGATTGCACAGCATGAACACTGAGTTTTGTACGGTTTCTTCCTAGAAACCTCAAGCATGCTGCGAGTGGCATGCATCCCCATCGCAGTGGCATGTGCCACATAAAGCCAGTGTAAAAAAACTACCCTGATTAACACAGGAGCGTGTTGCTCACGGCACAGCATGACAAGCGTCTGGTGTAAAATGGGCTTTAGTTATGTATGTTTATATGGTTACCTTACTGCGGACTAAATTATGTTTAAAATGCATTCCTGTCTACAAGTTATAGCTTCATTAACCAGTGGTCCTCAGACTTTTTAGCCATGAGCCCCTCTAACTCGACTAATGCTAAAACACCCAAAAACTGCATTGCTGCTAGATAAGTGATTGGGCAACTCAAGCAATTTATAGGTGGTTGGTAGAGTGTTGCTAGGTAATTGCAATGATATCCTGCTTTCTTGCTTCGGTTGTTTCTATGGTATTCCAGGTGGTTGCAAGGTTCTTGCAAAGTGGTTATTATGGTACTCCAGGTGATTGCTAGGGAGTTGTTAGATGGTTGCTATGATAGCTTAAAAGTTTGTGCACCCACTTTATATCATGGTGATAGTCCATTAGCAACACCTTATTAACCAGTGATGATAATAGACTTCCATCTTGATATTGGCTGGGTGCACCAACTTTTGGCCTTACTCATCTCTGAAATCATCATCTGTTGAAAAAAATGATTGTCATTCAATGATGACCGTACAAAAACTACACATCCGATCAAAAGGCTGCGTACAAGCACGATATTCCTGATACAATTGAATATTCTGGAGTTGGAGCGGTGTCGACATCTTAAAAATGTTGAGATGAGGATGAGAAAAATGTTTACTAGGGTGTTGCTAGGTGATTTTTATTGCATTCCAAGTGGTTGCTAAAGTCCTGCTAGGTGGTTGTTATGGTATTCCAGGTGGTTGCCAATTTGCAGTATCCAATCAATGCACAACCACTAATAAATAAACTAAACAACTTTGCAGAGATCCAACAACTCTTCTGTGCCTCAATCATCCTGATTGAAAGCGACACACACACTTTTAACGCTTTTAAACTCTTTTAGAATAGATAGCTATAATCAC